CTATGTATTCTCTGTTCTTTATGGATTGCTAGATTTCTGAATTAGTTCAGGCTCATAATTCATGCTTTTTGTTTTATGTCTTGCTTAATCAAATCTTTTGTCTGCTGGAGTAATCTGTTTCTTTCCATGGAAATTTTAGTTGTTGCTTTATATGTGTCAAGCCTATATTTTTAGATCCAAATATGTTCATAGTTATTGTATCTTTTTTGGTTCCAGGATATGACATCTCTCATTGTCCCCTTTGATTTTTATTTTGTCTTGGTATTAAAATGTTGATAGATATTCTCACATTGACCTCCAAAAAGGTTACATCACTCACTTTACCTGGCTTATACTTGGCTTACACCCCAACCCTGTCTCTTATGACACATTTTAAGGCCTGTATATCCTAGCTTTCTGTCTTTATTGGTAGCTTGGGAAACTGGACCTGAAGCATATTTATAGTGCTCTTAATCCTAATTTTACTCTCTGCCTATCACATTTCAATCATGATTAATTGAGTCACTCCAAATGGCATCCTGACTTCATTAAAGGATGGTGCCTGGGAACTTTGACTTAAAATTATTCATTACTCCTCTTATTGGGGTTGCCCCAGGACTCAGTTTTCTCTGGGGAGAAGGTTGGTCCAGCTTCTCACCCAGAAGTATGTCTGTTAGAATCCACTATGAGCCAAGGGTAGACTCTTTCCTGCTGTATGCTGCCTCAGTTAAAGGCATGAAGATGGGCAGCTGTGGCCTTCTGCTTGCTGGAGATCTAGAGGTCACTCAGTCCAAGCTTCAAGGAAGCAGAGGGTCAGCAGATGAATAGTCAATCTAATCCAGCTGCCTTGAGGCCAGTTCTGCTTGTGCACCTGGATGCCTCGGTTCATAGCATGATCTGGTATGCTGAGCTCCACTGATTTCCAGCTCTGGTCCTGGCCTGAATGGCTCTTGAATTCTGCTACATGATTGGTGAGCTGTCAGTGGAGTCTGCTGTTACCCCGAGGCCATTATGTGACATCTTTTTCAGGAAAGTTATATTGCTGAGGGAACTAATATCTCTTGCCCCCTGTGAGGTTCCTCTTAACATTCCTCTCAGCCTCTGTCTGACATCCTCTCACCCCCACCTCCCACATGCTCACTTTGTGCTTTCATAAATAGCTAGGCTCCTTGAACAGCTTCTAAAAGCTTAAAGGTAACATCCTTTGCGTCTGTGGAGTATTTTATATTCTTCAAAGCACTTCCATATACATATTATTATTTGATCTTCACAAAAACCTTTCATTTATGTAGGTTAGGGATATTATCCTGATTTCATCGATGACGAAATAGAGAAGGTAATTAGGTGACTTGCTTGTCCTCAGGCATTTTGTTAGTCTGGTAGAAAGCCCAGTTTGGTGATTTCATTAATTAATTCATTCATGCACTCAATATCCACTGGTACTGAGAGGTGGCCCCGGAATAGAAAAAAGAAAGGATTTTGGAATCAGATAAACTTGGATGAAATTTGATACCATCCTTTATTTGCTGTGTGATCTTGACCATATACTGTGCATATCTGTCTGAATACATGTAACAGTTTATTATAGTAATATAATCATGCATCTGCCTACCTTAACTAGTTGATAACGTCCCTGTGAGTAGGGACCTTTATTGTTCAGTAGGCCTTTATTGAGCACCTACTACCCTGTAGATATTGCTTTTGGTGCTAAGGATGCAACAGACATAGACTCTACCCCTCGGGATCAGAAAATCAGTTTCCTCATTTGTAATATAGGGAAAAATAATGACCTATAATTTTTATGAAGATTTTAAAATATATGAAATTTGTCAATAATCATATGTGGTACGCAGTAGGTTGAACTAGTATAGATAAAAAATGTTCATATATCAACAGTTTTATTTATGGTCCAACTTAATGAAAGAAAATATTGGCTTCCACTTATTCTGTCCCCCTATTTATTGTATGAGGCACTACCAGACCCCAAAGTCTGTAAATAGTGATAAGACTTTCCCTATGTGTCTGAATCTTCTGCCAGACTGTGATCCTGAAGGGTAGAGCTTACGTCTGTTGCATCCTCAGCACCAAAAACAATGTCTGCAGGGTAGAAGCTGCTCAATAAATGCTTACTGAACCATAAAGGTCCTGCTCACAGGGAGGTTATCAACTAGTTAAGGTAGGCAGATGCGTGACCATATGACTATAATAAAGTGGTATGTGTATTTAGATAGATTTGCATAGGCTTTGGTGAGTGTCCAAAGGAAGCCATGCTCGGTTCTACAGGGGAAGGCTGAAGTGCAATGGGGATGGGGGGAGCTTCAGAGAGCAGGTGATGCAAGACTTGACCACGGTCTGTCTGAGCAGGGGAGCAACGTCACTTTCCTTATCTTGGACTATGTGCTTTCTTTCCACAAACCCCCTTCCAGTGTTCGAAATTGAGTTTGTATTCAAAGCGGCCTCTTTGTTTGTCTCACAGGTCCTCCATCGCTGGTATCTCCCATAATGTATTGCTTTGTAAAGTGCTTTGCTCTATCCTGAGCATAAAAAAGATGCTCCGTAAAACGAGATTCTATTCTTTGAGTGTCACCAGCAGCCATTGCATAACAAAGTGTAATATATTGTGTGAGAAGAAATAGAGGAACACAAGAGATATTTTAAAGAGAGCAAATAAAACCTTAAAGTGGGAGAGTATAGAGTGCATTAAAGTTGATAAACTGTCATAGCAGAGTGGACCACTTTTAAATGTGAAGGAATCTAATTTAGGGACTTGTAACTGTAGGATTAAAATCCCACTGGAATGAAGTTAGCTGCGAGTTTTGCCAAATTCTAAATCTTTTGGTTCTCCTCGAGAACCAGTCCTTGCTTGGAATCAAGCAGATCATATGTATTTTTTTTTTGGTACCCAGCTCTTTGAGGTGCTAAATCCAACTGTTTTCCTCTGAATATTCAGTGCTGCTCAACTCTCCGTATAGTGTTGCTTTTCTTCAGACTCTGGGAGGAGGAATTTGGGTCCCGGTTCTCTTGCTTGACTGCACAGCCCATCAGTGTGGATTTTCAGGACTGGTGGAGTCATTCCCTGTATCTACAGAGACATGGAGGCCAGAAAACTGTCAGGAATAAGCTTTGCTCAAGCGTGAGCCACGGAGCTACTCGTCTTATGAGAGAGAGAGAGAGAGAGAGAGAGAGAGAGAGAGACAGACAGACAAAGCAATCGATGCAGGTCTCTTTGGCAGTGTTGAGGGATGACTACAACAGTAAGGGTTCCAAAATGTTTTCTGCCAAGAGCTGGATTGGATTTTGTGCTTCTTCAGCCACAAAATGTCCCCAGCATCTTACTCTCGGATCCTCAAGACCCTTTCTAGTCAGTCTGCTCAGTCTGAATACTTCCTTATCTATCTTTATTCAACACCCTTATTATCATTTTTTTTTCTTTTTGTTAGTCAAACTCTCAAATGTTTTTAGGTCATTAGTATCTTACTTCTTTTCCAAATAAACAGGAGATAGTAAGCAGCATCTTCCTCCTGGCTTGTGTACCCTCGCTGAAGACAGAAGAATGAGAATCTCTGCTTCTGGTTCTAGGTGCAGTTTGTAGGATATTTCCTTACAGTGTTAGAAAGCTGTGTTTATAGATTGGTATTCTGGTATTATAATGCCATTGACCTTGGGCAATTATGTAATTGTTTTGAGTTTCAGTTTCTTCATTTGAGAAATGGGAATAAAAAGCCTAATTTATAGGGTTCCCATGAGGACCAAAGAGATTGCATATGAGGAAATGCCTAACACAGTGCAGGGCATGTAACAGATGTACAATAAAGGACTGTTTAAATGGAAGTGTTGTGCAGGACTTTTCTACTCAAATAAGGGGCTCTTGGAGAATGATGAGACTCGTAGAGAAATGACTAGTAGCTATATTCTGTGGAGCTCTGTGTCCTTAGTCTGGGCAGTGTGTCAGATTTAGGGGTATGTGTAGAAGAAGAGAGGCAGGAGTTCTTAGTAGGAAAACAGTGGTGAGTTGCATGGAAAATAGGTAGTCAGTCATTTCAGGGAAGTCAGTGCTACTAATGCCATTAGGAAAAAAAGTGGAAAAATGTCCCAAAGTGTCCCTTACATTACTTCAGTTATTAATAGTATTAAACTCACCACATTTTGATGCATAAAGAGATTAGAAAAGCACTGTTCTTAATAATATAGTAATCGATATGAAAGTGTGATGGGATACAATGGAATACACATTAGAATACAAAAATCAGGAGATCTGGGTTGAAGATCATTTTACTTATTAAACAGTTCATAGTCTTAGGTCAGTTTGCTTCTTTGAGACTTCCCATTAACATCTATAAAATGGGGACAATAATATTTTTCTTATTTTTTTCCCCACTGGGTTTTTAAAAGGATAAATGACAGGATCAATTCAAAGTACTGACCGTGTATTGGTTGTTCTTATGATTTAATATTAAGAGCCATTTCCTGGAAGGGTTGTGGAAGCATTTTACGGCTATTGTCCTCCGAGAGGCAAACGGAAGGCGAAGACAGCAAGGGTGTGGGACTCCCATATCTTAGCTCCCTGTTCCCAGCTTACTCAGGCCATGCTTCGTTGGCAGCCTCTGCTGAGCCCATTTTGCTGCTCACTTGGCCTGGCCTCTGCCTAGATCAGTTAGAGGACGGGTTATACCCAGAATGTCAGGGGTCATCAGCAACAGCCAGACCCCCCCTCTCACAGACTCCTCCTGTGCACTGGGTGTGACTTCGTCCTCTTTTCTTCCTTTGTCTCTGTTTGCTGCTGATGGCTATTGCAATAGCATCTTTTATTGTCTCTAAGATTTCCGAGGCTTTTGAAAGTTTCTTTTTCTCTCATTCTGCTGAGCAAACACCAGAGATAAGAGACTGAGCAGTTGATAGAAGTTGAGTTTGATGATCACTAGAAGGAGATAAGGTCCTTGACTTATGGGGTTCAGCCTCTTCAAAGACAGGTTATGTAGTGTGGGTCATATTTTAACCATTCTCTCCATTTGTGTTTTCAGGGAGTCGACAAGTTGAAGATGAAGCCCAGAGCAGAGTGCTGTTCTCCCAAGTTCTGGTTGGTGTTGGCTGTCCTGGCTGTGTCAGGCAGCAGAGCTCGTTCTCAGAAGAGCCCCCCCAGCATTGGCATTGCTGTCATCCTCGTGGGCACTTCAGACGAGGTGGCCATCAAAGATGCCCACGAGAAAGATGACTTCCACCATCTCTCAGTGGTGCCCCGTGTGGAGCTGGTAGCCATGAATGAGACCGACCCCAAGAGCATCATCACCCGCATCTGTGATCTCATGTCTGACCGGAAGATCCAGGGGGTGGTGTTTGCTGACGACACAGACCAGGAAGCCATTGCCCAGATCCTCGACTTCATTTCTGCTCAGACTCTCACCCCCATCCTGGGCATCCACGGGGGCTCCTCTATGATAATGGCGGATAAGGTAAAGGGGGCCACAGAGAGAAGGGCCCTGGTATTAGGGGCAGGGTTGGGTGGATTGTATTGAGGATCAAAGGATGCATTTGTTTTAAGGAAAAACTAGGTTGCTAAAGATGGAAGTTAATTAGGATCCATTGAGTGAATGGATAGACCAGGAACTAGCTAAGTTGTTTGGAGATGAAAGTGAAAAAAAGATACTAGTATATAGAAACTTCTGTAGTTCAGAGCAAGTCTGTGTGTTCATTTGTAAATGGAGTGACTGAAATGACTAAGATGTTGAAGTTCGTAGCTCTGATACATTTTCTTCAAATAAATACACAAATAGCTCTAAAATAAGGTATACTCTCATCTTCCTTGGTAATACATGTTCTGCTCCATACTGGTTTCAAAAATATTAAAAGAAAAATTCTCCAAGGCAGGTAATTTCTCTCCATGAAGATACAAATGTCATAGGGAAGGGAAGGTGTCCAACGCTCATCACACATGTCCCCACACATTTCAAAGGCTTTTAATCTCTGTAATGAGTAGCAACTGAGTTTTCCCCTGCTTAGATTTGAGCAATGGCTATTTGCCTTGGTTGCACATTGGAATCAACTGAGTGCTCTCAACACTATTGATGTTTGGGTCCTGCCCACAGATATTCTGATGATTGGCCTGGGCTTCACGATTTTGAAAAGCTCTCAGGAGGATCACAAGTTCAAGCTCCCCTCAAATAAATCCTAGTCTCTCCCACACCAATATTAGATTGTCTAATGATAGACTTATCATCTGACATTTGTGCTTAGTTTCTAACTACAGAAAAGGTGTTTTGTTTTGCATTTGGTTATGTTTTGTCTGTACGCTTTTTAATTTCTCAGTTATTTTTCCTTGCTTTGTTGATTAATGTACCTAATGTTGATTAGGTACAGAAATTTTCACACAGGTGTTGTCCTTTGCAGTCATTCATATCTTGGAACGATTCATTTCACCACAAGCGTAACATTTATCTTTGCTTTTTTTTTTAATCACTTTGGATTTTTAAAATTGTTTTTACCTTGGCATGGTCATCTTAGACTTATTATAATTCTCAAAACTATCTTTAGTTTTGTATTTGAAAGACATGCTGTGGAGTTAATTATGTTTGGAAACACCTTCAGACCTAGCCCAGACACCAGTGCACAGCCACAACGTTGCAGCTGCTTAGCAGAGACTAAAATAACCTTGCATGACCACTACTGCCATCTGTCAGCTACAGGAGGAGATGCCTGGCTTCTGTGTCAGCTTCCTTACATTCAGTCTAGGGAGAGGTTAAGTTGAAAATAATACTAAGTGGGGAAATTTCAGCATCATTATGAGAAAGATACTCTAACAGGCATGCAAGCACAGGTACAGATGTTAGGAAACAAGTGCTAGCATGAGAAGCGCATGCTACAGGAAGAAAGATAAACTAAATGGAAAATGTACTGACTGCAGCAAAACCTATCAGGTTTGCACTTTGGATAGATGTTGTTTCAAAACATTCTGTCTTTAGTAAATTATATTTTATTTTAGTAGTGGCATTTTTAAGGGCACAATATTACACCAAAGAATGTTGATATGGATAAAAACCAATTTTTTAAAATAATAAATAACTGAATACTTCAGAACACAACTAGTAAAGCTTACTTTATTTTCCTCACCTGGATTATCATGCAACCTGTGTTATTTCTCTTAGTAGGAAAAGTTAGGCCTACGCTGATTGGTTGCTCTCTCGCTATTTCCTGCAAATTCTGGGCATGGATATAAACTATGAGCTCAAATGCAGCTCCTGTGGAGAAATTGGGTTCTTTTGTTCCCTGGTTCCTCCTTAGGTGCTTTGAGAGTATTTAGCATATATTAGGTACTTTCATGCATTGTCTTATTTAATCTTAACTACCCAGTGAGCTAAGGGTCATTGTTTAATTTCTGTTTTAGAAATGGGGAAAACAAGGCTTAGAGGTTAAATTACACATCCCAAATGATCTATAGAAAGTGGCAGCCACACTTTAGCATTGGTTTCTGGCTGCAAAGGCCTTGCTCTCTTGCCCTTCAAGAAAAATAATGAGGCTGGTGAAGGTCTCATAAACCTTTCTGCCTTCTCCGTTCTCCTCTGTTATATGGTGTTGTGGGGATGTCATCTCACTGCAAGTAATCCATCACTTGATTCATAGTCATGCAATACTGGAATATATCTACAGAAAAGGGTTAACAAGAATGTAAAAGGGGGCAGCACTCATAGTATACAGAAGCTTCTGTATAGCAGAATGGTATACAGAAACTTCTGTAGTTCAGAGAGGTTTGTGTGTCCATTTGAAAATGGAGTCACTGAAATGACTAAGATGTTAAAGCTTGTAGCTCTGATACATTTTCTTCAAAAAAGTGCATGGATAGCTTTAAATGAAACATACTCTAGTATTCCTTGGCAATACATGTTCTCCTCCACACTTGTTTAAAAAATATAAAGAGAAAAATTAGAAGGCCCATTGTCTATTGCCTTCTAGAGTACAAAGGCAAAGCTGAATCCAGTAAAGTGATGTTCCAGGTCACTCTGATGAGATCCCACTCTGGTCACTTCTTTTCCTCCTCTCTACACTGCTACCACACCCAAAATTCCATCTCTTTTCTTTTTCCCTTGATATAAGGAGGTGGGCAATGATTTTTAGATTTTAGTAATTTCTTAAAATACCTTAAGTGACATCTAACTGGCTCTTGACCTGAAGAATTTCTAAAAAGGAGGCAGTAAGAGGAAAAAGAAGAAAGGAAGAAGATCAGAAAGTCAGTGGCTAGATGGCTGCGGAGGAGGAGGAGGTGGCAGGAACCATAGGGACCTGGAGGGTGGCTGCTCCAGGATTCCCAGGAGCTACACGGGGGAGTGTTCACTGGCTCAGAGGCTTTGCATGAAGGTGAATGAAAAAAGTTCCCTGGATCTGAGAGAGATAAGCCTTCAGAGGAAGTTTAAAAAATAAAACACCTCAAAATCTAAGGCCATTTTTTAAAAATAGAAGTATATTTTAAGTACCATAACTTTATTTTATAAACATAGGATGGAGAAGCACAGGCTGATGGCTATGAATTGATAATGAGGCAAAAGGACCAAATGTTTGAAGGTGGATATGATACAGGACATCTGTGACCTGTGGCTCAGTAACCATCCCAAGGGAGATCAATAAATCTCTCACCTTATTTCCCTCCTTAGGAGGCAGGTAATTGTGACTGCTTTCACTTTTTTATTAGCTTGTTTAGAATGAAATCCGCTTATCAAGTGCTGTTGTGGAAGACTGCATTATGGGCACAAAGTTCCAATATTTAAGGAGCTTTTGATGTAGGAAAGAGCACTGATAGACTTTTGATGAAATAAAGACACAGTTCATCACTTCAGCATCTGGTCAAATAGCATGTGCTCACTTTTCTGTATATGCTAATTAATCAGTAAAAGCATTAATTAGTGTTCTGCTTTCACCATGAGGAAATGTACTTTATATTATGGGAGAAAGAAGCACGAGAGTAGAGAATTATTAAGTGCTCAGAATTGAAGCTAGGTTGGTTTGCACCCACCTGTAATCCCAGCAACTTGGGAGGCTGAGGCAGGAGAATCACAAGTTCAAGGCCAGTCTCAGCAACTTAGTGAGGCCCTGTCTCAAAAAATGTCTGGGGATATAGTTTAAAAAAAGAAAAAAAAAGTAGACCAAAGAAAGAAAGAAAAGAATGAAAGAAAAAAAAGAAAGAAAAGAAGAGCTGGTTTCAATTGTCACTTCCTAGATGTCGGGCTCCAGCTGGCCATGAACTCCTTCTGCTCATTCTTTCCTTGACTGTGTTGTGGGGATAACAACACATGCTTTGCTGGGTTGTTGAGGATTTGATGAGATAATACATAGCAAGTGCTTTACCAAGTGTCCAGTGTAGCACTTAGTAGGTTAAACAGAAAGTCATGTGGAGCAGTTTGAAGGAAATGAGAAGCTTTCATGACATAGGAAAAGAATGGCAATTGTATAGTGTCATGGACAGTTTGGGGGGCAGTTCTAAATTGGAGACAATCAAGCTCAGATGGGGTCTAGGGAAAGGACTCTGAAGTATGGCGCTGAAGTATGTGACTCTGAAGTATGGAAGCCTGCCATGGCCAAAAAGAATATGCTCAGTTAAAGAAAAGCTCCAACCAGGAAAAAACTGCTAGGCGCTTAAAACAGAAGACTGTTTAGGATAGTAACAGTGAATGCTTAAAAATGTATGAGGTGCTTTTTTGGCAGTTCCCCACCTGAGTATAAAGAGCCTGTTTTATTTTGTCTTGTTATAATTGCTTTTATTCTCCCTGAGATCCTGGATTTAGGATGCCCACCTGAATCCAAATAATGAACTAAAACTAGATAGGTGTATTACCATTTCTTTCTAGGAAGTTTCTTTACTGATTGACTGAAATCTTTCTTGGGATTTTTCACATTTTAGCTCAGGGAGGTTAAGTAACTAATCTAGGATCTCACAGCTCACAATTAGCAATGGCAGTGAGATTCAAATCCCAGAAATCTCTCTTTCAAAATCCATGATCCCTATTATACAATTGTGCCTCACGAGATACTGAAGTTAAGAATTAAAAGCCCCAAGTTTTTATTTCCATTCTGATGAGCTTTGGAAACCTGGGTGATGAGATCACTTAAGCTACATGATACTCAGTGTACATTTTATAAAATACAAATTTTGTTTTCATCCCACCCAATTTACATTTCAAAGATAAAATGAAATAGAATATGTGAAAACTACATACCGGAACACTGCTGTGCACACAGACTCTGCAGGTGGAGAAACTGGGGAGTGCTGCTAGGGAGTGAGAGCCCTTGACAGTTGTTCTATCACTGGCATCAGGACCAATGAAAATGGCGTGGGCACGAGATGGGAAGGAGAAAGGAAAGGTGGATGTTATAGTAGGGCCGGGCAAGGGGATTCGAGGTCCAATCTGTAGTACTGCAAGAATGGGAGACAGGAGGGTGTCCAGAGTCAGGGTGAGAGTCTGGGAAT